GTGAACCAATTTTTTTATACTTTAATTTGTCAGAACAAGTTTTTTTTTGAAAAAATCAACTAATATTCAAAACTGACTACAACCAACCAATGAGGTTAAAGAATTGCCTAACAGGGACAATTAGCATTGCCAACTACAGTAACAACTTAATACGGAGGTAAATCACTCCAAATTTGAAAAAGATGTAGGTAAATTTCTAAAATTATCAAAATGTAATAAAAAACTATAAATAGGTATTACTCAAATTGTTAATATCAGACTTTTTATTCAAGGCATTTGAAAATTCATTGATAGGAACTATCTCCAAAAAAACAAGCTTATTGTAATTAATTTCATTCTCTAAGACTGTGACACCGTTAAAATTCATTTTATGGCCTGTACTTAATGTATGTTCTGAAAGGGCACAGGACATTTTTTTTAAATTACAATTACTCTTATGCGATGTAAGTCTACCTTTTAATGTACGACCCGTTTGGCCAATGTATGTCTGGTTGCAGTTCACAATTTAGAAAAAAGTATTACCAGTAAGTTCTTAAAACTTAAAACCAATCTTTACATTTAAATCCTTAATAATGTACATTAATTTTGGAGCTAATTCTTTTAAAAACAAAAAAGATTTATATTTGAGAACAGTGAATTGTTATCAATTTCCATGTTATTATCAGTAAGTCTATTATGTAATGGAGAAACATTATTAGTGTCCATATTAAACAAAATTTTATTAATTAGATTTTTCTGGAACAGTGTTTTTAATTCATTAAAGACTGATTTACGAAACTGGGGTGTGTCAGTTTATATACCCTGGTTTTAAGGGCTGAGATTAGATTCAATTACATTTTATTTTGGTGGTATGAATGAAAATTAAGGTACCTGCCACTACTCATAGATTTTCTATACCACTTCGTGGCTAACATGTTGTGTTGGTCCCTATATATTGACATATCCAAAAATGGGATGCAATTGTTCTGCTCCTTTTCAACGGTGAACTGGATGTCATTATCATAACTTAAAAACCCTTAGAGTTATCTATCTATCTCATTTTGTGTAACCGCCAGAATCAAATCATCTACGTAGCGTTTTCCAAATGGTATTTCCATATGTAACTTTGATAGGCAATCCCTAACCAAATCATCTAAAACGTAATTAACTAATATAGGTGAAATTATGGACTCCATTGGGGTACCAAAAACTTGTTTGTAATAAACCCCCTCAAAAACACAATAATTAGAATCAAAAATAAATTTTAAAACTGTTAAAAAATTATCCAAATCTAAATTTGAGTTAACATTAATTGAATTCCAATTTACGGTTATACTAGTTAAAATTCTCGTTTAGGGTAAATTAGTAAACAGTGAAACAACATCAAAACTGACAATTACAAATTCCTCTGGTAACTGATAATTATTAATAAAATTACTAAACTGGAAAGAATCCATAACATAAAAATCATTGTCGGTATTATAAAATTTAATCAAAAAATCTGTTAAAGATTTAGCTAACGAACCATTGGGACAATTAATAGATGACACAATTGGACGCATTGCAAGTTCCGGTTTATGTATTTTCTTCAGATTGACCTTGAAACGACCTTTACCTGACCTACAAGTGACCTTAGATAGCTAAGCTACCAAGAATTCAGGTTCAGAGATCGCAAAAACATTATACCTACTGGTCAAAATTCATTACATGCCTCAGTTTTTGAATCCATCGACTTGAAATTTCGTGAAGCTTACTCAGTCCTACAGCCAAAATCACACACTTCCCCCCTCTATATCTCTGAAACTATCCATAGGACCACTGACGAAAAGTGACAACTTTTCATCAGAATGTCGAGAACTATAACATATCACAATTCCCGCCAACTCTAGCGGGACCCAATTTCCATTCATTTTGTGCGGGGTCCTTTGGAGTGATTGAACTATATTCTTATAGACACTTACTTATCTGTTTTTTTTTTAATTTTAAATTTTTGTTTATATCCTCAGTTCGATTTATGTAATTTATTTGTGTATTCAAGGGTTAAGTGGCAAAGCACACTTTGTATGAACTTCTTGAGATTTCCAAACTAACATGTTTATTTGATATGCTTTATACTGTTGTTTCCTTTTTCTTCTTGGAAATAAAGGTATTATTATTATTATTATTATTATTATTATTATGCATTTGGCATGTCCTAGTAATAAAGAATTTAGGGAATAGACAAACTATAATATGATTTGTTGTGGATTACAGAATAATACGTTGGCCAGAAAGTCACTTTTTCTCTATTTACCAGTAGGATTTCAAATTCCCAGTATAAAAATATAAATATTTGAAAAATAATAATATTTGCTTATAAAAGATCTGCATGCAGTGTCGGCTGAAGCGGGGTACTCTGGGATGCCGCCCACCTCTAGAAATTTTAGTAGTAAGAAAAATTTATTTAAAATTTAGTTTACAGTGTTATCTAGATAATTAAATAGATTAGTCTTATGAAAGACATTAAGAAGGAAATGATAAATTTGTAACGTGCAGTCAATTTAACTTGACTTGCAGAATTCATTTGAAAAACACGAAATATGTGGGAGTGGCAGTAGCGCAAAATGTAATAGGTATTCACCGCTTTTTTTATTAAATGTAATTGGTTACACATGGTGTAAAATTTTATATCCTACGTATTGTTTTTTGTGTTTTTTTTTAAGTTATAAACGTTTAGACAACAGCACTTGCAATGCTGCTTGCTTGCAACTATCTACTGAAAAATCAGTGGTGCGAGAAATACCAAATTTGAATAAGTATATAATTGAAAAGTTTATTTCTGACAAAAGCAGAAGAATGGACTTTCACTATAAAAAAATAATATTGTGCACATTTTCACTATATTTCAATAGTACTTAAAATATCTACCCAATTATACAGTGTAAACTCTTTATAACGTCGTTCTTTATAACGAAAAACTTCCTATAACATAGAAATTAGGTCAATTTGGTTGGTTTACATCAAAACCCATACATTAATACACTCTTTATAGCGCAACAGCCATTCTCTATTATGAAAAAATATGTTCATATTTAGACGCCAGCAAATATTTACAGAAGTATTTAACAGTGTAATTGTTTTTATTATCAGCTTACAAAAGGTTCCGACTAAATCTTTGAGGTGCTGAAATTTCCCTGTCCCTGAGGTCGTAAACAACTGCCTTGCTTTTGTTATTGCTAATTGTCTCGAACACGTGTGCCATTACTCTTGGATTACATTGTTTCTAGGAAATTTTGCGCGCAGTTACTAAACGCACTAGGCACCTATCGTGTATTATCAGTCGTAAATCTACTTTAAAACTGTCAAGATGGCCAGTAAAAGAAAGGCGTTATGTGTTAACGAAAAAGTTTGTTTGATACGTGCGGTAGAAAAAGGAGAAAAGAAAAGTAATGTTGGAAGACGTTTAGGCTTCAGTCCATCTACCATTTGGAAAAACAAAGAAGCAATTCTACAGGCGGAACTGCAGGGAGTGTCTACTAAAAAATTTTAAGGAAGCCAAAATTCGAAGACTTAGATCAAGCAATGTTGTCGTGGTTTAACAATCAGCGTGCCAGAATAATGTACCCATCTCGGGGCCAATTGTTAAAGCCAAGGCTGAGAAGTTTGCCGAACAACTAGGCATTACTGACTTTAAAACATCAGAAGGTTGGCTTGGAAAATTTAAGCACCGTCATAACATTACCTATGGTAAAATGAATGGAGAGGCACGTGATGTCGATATGAATGTGACTAACGACTGGATTAATAACGTGTGGCCTAAATTAATGGATAAGTACTCAATCAATTTAATTACCTATTGAAAGTACATAATAAAATTGGAAATTATTGTAATTGGTGAAATGTGGTTATTTTTCCTTCTTCCCTCCATATAACAAAAACTTTATAACGAAAAAAAATCCTCGGTTCCTTAAGATTCGTTAAAAAGGGTTTACACTGTATTTGAGTTTTTTTTCAATACTTTGTACTTAAATTTTGTTAAAACACCGTACTTTCGTATAATTATTTTTTGTGCAGATATTAAAATTATCTGATAATTCTTCTACATTGCACTGCTTTTCCTTAATAAGGCTGTGGACGATAATAGCTAATACCCTGCGATTAAAGAAATCTTTACGTCGATTGCTGTGTATGAAGTTGTTCTAGTTTGCTATTACGCTAATAGAGACCGCCACTTCTTGGATAGATTTTCTTCTATCTATCTGGTTCTATTGCTGTTTTACTAAAAGTGCGTTTTCTTGTCTATAAAACACCGACCTTAAACATTATAATATAAAAGAATTACGTTCATTTGTTAGTAGAGTGAGTATTTATTTTGTGAAACTATTGAATGAATTAATAATGGTATATCATGTTTGATTGAATATTCTGTGGACAACTTTATATCAATATCTATAATCTACGTATTTCTGTTAACTATAACCATCGAAAAATCAGACAGAGCATTCAATAAAAAATATGTGATCTTCTACATTTTTACACAACCTGTATAATACAATTTTTTTTAACATACGTTAATATGGTACCAAATTGGAAGTCGACGCTTAGATAATAATTTCGAATTTTTGAATTCCAAGGCGAATTCATATAAAATAAGTAATTAATTTAGGTAAATTCATATTTTTAATTCTAACTTCATTTATTTTATTTAGCATTTAACACAAATGCAATTTCCAACTCCAAGTTATTACTTGGCAACATTGCCACACTTCGGAACTGTTAAAACTGTCTGTCACCTATTACCAAGTAGAAGAGTTACCACGCCAAATTTTATTGTTAGATGCCAGCTCAGAAGGAACTACGTCCTTTTTGGGTTGCCAATTTCCAGCATTTAACGTGTGGTCTGGTGCGTTAGTTATTTTGTCTGTAGTACAATGCTATTCATTTTCTTTCAATGCTGATTGTAAAAAGTATATCTTTATAAATATTAGATTATAATAATATATAAACCATATTTGTTATATTTTATAAATTTTTATATGCAGAAAATAATGCCAGAAAAAAGAAAGTTTATGAGCAAGAACAGAATGAAGAAAATCCATTGAGATGTCCTGTTAAATTATATGAGTTCTACTTATCAAAATGGTAAGTACTTATCAAATATCTTCTAATACTAGACATAAATATGTAAGGTGAATGTGTACATATATTTTAACTGCAGTTATAATTTGCAATGTAAATGAGTAGTGAAAGTTATTTCTTAAAGTTACCAACCGAACACCCTATGCTCTCCAGATTTGCTTTTGTTTCATCACAGAAATTATTTTACATAAATGAGCGCATCAGGGCAAAAGTGTTCACGCAAGAGTATTATAGGTCATCAAATATGGCGGCCGTTAAGCCCTTGCAATACATAATGGGAAACAATCGTTCGAGTGGCTGGAAATTTGATGCTCAGGGATTTTTACGGTCAACAATCACAATTCTGATGTCAAAATTACAAAATCTGAAATAGCGGATCCAATATGAAAGCCATAAAAGTCCTTACATAGGCCAATACAAAATGGGCACATTATCCATAATGACCCTTGGAACGTCTTGAAAATCGCTAATAGGGATGTTTTGTTTAGGGCTCACGTTAGTAAGGCCCATGTAACCGCCATGTCCCTGTCTAGTGATTTTCAAGACATTCCAAGAGTGGTTAAGGATATTAAATTCGCATTGTTGTCCATACATTGTGCCCATTTTGTATTACAAGGGCCGCCATATTGTATCTGCCACTTAGAATTTTGCTATTTTGCAATCAGAATTGTGATTGCCAACCCCACAAACTACTAAGTATCAAATTTCGAGCCGGTCTAACAATTGTTGACCAAGTTGTATTGGCCTATATAAATACCTATATGGCCGCCATTTTGGATTTGCCATTTTGAATCTTGCGATTTTGATATCCGACCGTAAAAATCCCAATTTTTACATCTGATTCATGTTTTATGACCTTATTTGAACACTTTTAGCCTGATGCGTTCATTTATATGAAATAATTTCTGTGATCAATCAAAAGTCCTACACGAAGCCTATTCAGCAGCCATTTTGAGAATCGAAAAATGCCATTCGATTCCAGAAACTACATGAAAAAACATAATTTTGAGCCCTTGTTAGAATGTTCAAAGCTAAAGCAATTCTGGAGAGCAACGGGTTTCAGATAACACAAGAAGCTACTGAAGAAATCTGGCGACACCGGAGAGCATTACTTGTTTGTAAATTTTTCTTAGTCAAGTTATTTCTTACAATTTTGCATTTGGAAGTACTAGTTTATCCCTTCAAATAAAAAAGTTAGACTGTCAGGTTTTAAAAAAATTACATTGTTTTTTAAATTATCATACTAAAAATCTGAAATGTTCATCTTTATTGGTTTTGCAAGTATTGCCAGAACTGGAAAAAAATGTATGTGTTTGACATTCTGCTTATTAAAAACAATTTTTGATTAAGCAGTACTTGTCAACAGCACCCCTTTGTGACTAGAAAAATTTTTATTAAGCAATTATCACCATTGTGTTATTTAAATATAGAGTGGTCACTAATTCACCAATTTGTTTTAAATTTTGAAATTTATCTGAGGATATAACTCGACAAATAATCTATTCTGTTGTAAACAATTAAAATTATTTTTAATTGATAGATGATAAATTACCTAAACTTCACCCTGTGCATCTTTTATCCTGTACAAATAATGTCTTTTGTTACTATATTTTTTAAAGGTATATTTTTTAAACAAAGATGACAAAAATAGAGTCTACAATCTAAGCCTTTATACTTTACCTGGTTAATTAATTTTTTTTATAAAATCTGACGTTTTATAAATAACACTAACGACATTCACAAACTATTCAAATAAAAAATTTTTATAACAGAAAATTTGCACTCATTTTGAAGTATTTCCTCGAGAATGGTAATCGATGTCATTTTTTAGCCCCGAAAGTGTCAAAACTCGAAATGATGTTTTCTACTTACAACCAGAAAGATCTTGTGTACCAGATAGTCCAGTTTGGTATTCCACAATGCCTCTACCTAGAGAAGCCCTGGAAAAGATGCTTCATCGAGTGAAAATGGTTAAAGAGATAAACGTTGCTTTACTTACTAGTTAATCTACATATGTATATAAAATTGTACAGTTGTATATATTGCGCATACAACTGGCAAAGCAAGAATGGAAGTGGCTCAAACCGTTATACAAACAGTATATCAAAAAAGTGCTAATTGTTCATGCACCACATCATCCTGTAAATTAACTAAGTATGCATCTTATATATATTTTTTGTGTAACACAAATAAGTTGTCATGGCACGACTTATTTGTGATATTTTATCTAAAAATTACTAGATTGTTATGAAAAATAGAAACTATATCTGTCAGAATTGTGATATCAACTTTTATAGGATTTAAATTCTTCAAGAATATTAGCAATTTATTTTTATTCAATCAGCAGTTTGAAAATTATAATTCAAATTTACATGGTGTGAAATAAATGTAGGAACAAATAACCAGGGAGTAGATAGTAGGCTATGAATAGTTATATTTCTTGAAAACAGTTGCTAGTAACATGGAATTATGATTTGTAACAAAATACGTCAAATATTTTCTTTTAAAGAAAAAAATGTAATTTAAACCTTGAATATCATATAAAAAAGTGTAGGTTAATATTTATATTTAAAAAAAGATTGTAATCAGGTTTGGTTAGACCATAATTTAATATGTACATTGAAAACCCATCAAATTCTGAGAATGCAAAAATCTGTTTTTCATAATGATAGGCAAATTATCAAGTCGAAAAGGCATTCAAAATTTTAACCAAAACGATTTGGTTCTCTCCTTATAATTAATAAAAAATAATAAAATTTGTACTTTTAGAATGTGTTGAATTTTTTTATTGTATAAAGTCTCTTAAGATATCTCAGTCCAATACAGGGTGTTTCAAAAAAGTATTGCCAAACTTCAGGGGGACATAGAGGGCATTGTAGTAGAAAATTTTTGCATATAAAGTCGGAAATAAGCCGTTTTGGCCCTGGAGCAATTTTTGTCCAAAAACGTAATGTTGACACGAAAGGACTTTGATATTTAAGTAATTCTTATAAAGGATAACGGAAAAACTGATTTGAAACAAAATAAACAGGTTTATCTCTTCTGATAAGTGTTTACCAACTGCATGTCCTACACATAGGCTTGCCAGATCTCCGGGTTTCGATGGTACATCTTCGGACTCCGGGTTAACTTGATTTGTCCGATTGCAATTGCAAAACCTTTTTTTAGGCTAGATATTTCCTGAGTATATCTTCTTTTTTTTTAGAGATCGATTTCTTTATAAACAATTTGACTCCCAGATTTTCTAGACCTTTTTTTTTAGGCATCAATTTCTCCGGGTCTGTCATAAAATAGATCTGGTAACCCTACCTACACATGATGTGGTAAAAATTTATTTTATCCACAACTGTGTGACGCATCTAATCTCGCCATGCAATGTCATCTGTGTCACGCTGTGAGGAATAGTGAAATAAATGAACACTGAGCTGTCACCTAATAAATGATCGGACCTAATTAGGTGTTTCACATTTGTTTTGATTGCGACAAAATTTTGCTTCTAAGTTGTTGAAATTGACCAATTTACATTCGAAGAGTATGCAGAAATGTATCTTATTTATGGCGAAGCAAGATGCAATGCTAGAGAAGCTGAGTGGTTTCTGCATCGCCGACCTCTTTTCGTCTATCCATCTTCGGACAAGAGAAAAAAATTACTTTAATCCAGATGTAGGAAGTTCACATCCACGAACTGCACAGACAGTGGTCATTGAGGAACAGGTTTTGCATTGAACTAAAGAACAACCTACCACAAGCCGCTTTGAACAATTATTATAAAATTAGTTTTGTGTTATCCTTAATAAAAATTACCTAGATATCGAAGCTCTTTGGGGTCAATGTAATAAATATTACGTTTTTGGATAAAAATTGCTCCAATCAAAACCGCTCATTTCCGAGTTTCCACTGCAATGTTCTCTATAACCCCCTCAAGTTTGGCAACACCTTTTTGAAACACCCTGTATAACTGGCCAAATTTATTCCAATTTATAAAAACCTAAAATAAATGTTATTGCTCATTAGTTTGAATTTTTTTAAAATTTTTTAAATTATCGAACATGTTTAATGTCAGTACTAAATTAATTCTGTTATAGAGATGTACATTTTACCAATAAAGTAAATATTTTACTTTCCTACCTCAATTTTATCAGTAAAAACAGTCACTTTAAGTTAAAAAAAAAACATTCATAAAGTCGCTACTTTAAAATTTCATTACATTCACATAAAATTTGTATTTTTTTTATATTCTTTTCTGTCATTATAGTGCTCGTCTGGTTATAATCGTGAAAGAATAGAAGGGTAAAATGTACTTCATTGAAGAATTGGGAATTGCAGACATTTGAAAATTAATATTTTACAGTTGCTTATATGATTTCTTGGTTTCTTTAATATTCTTCGAATTAAATATAATTATTTAAATATTTTAATTTTTGATAACCAAAAACATTTATTTCAGTAAATATGTTAAAATATAGATTTATAATAAAATGACAGTTCTATTTATTAAATAAAACTACAAAAAATAAAACCTTTAATAAATATCTAACATATTTTATGTAAAATTTTCATATGTGGTACATATTTTCAAGCTGATTTTGGAGAAGGAAAATGGAAGTGGACTCACTGAACCTATCATTTGTTTTAATATTAATTACTACTCAATAGCTCTATTTCTCAAATTTTTGAGCAGTAATGCCACTTTTACCATATATTAAATGTCATATTTGATAGATGATATAGAAAATTATGTTATTTCATTTATATACAACATTTGGATTATTTTTTAAACAAAAAAAAAGCAAGCAAAATTTAGAAAATAATTTAGTTAGGGCAAAATTAATTTTCAGAAACTAACAGACATATAACATAATATCCAAATTAAATAATATAAAAAATATAGAGTAACCCAAATCAAGTTAATACTATTGCCAGCTTCATTATTATTGATGATACACATAAAAAAAAGAATAAACATAAATCTACTCTATATAAAAAAAAATTAAAATGCTGATAATCAAGCCAATTTAAAAATATATTAACTCGTAATTAGCCTTAAAAATTAGCAATCAGCTGATCTCGGTGATCTTATATTTGAATACAAATATTGCATTAAATAAAATGTGTTCTGTGCAGGTTACCTTCCTTGAATGACATTAGCATTTAACAATCACAACTGAGAACATCACAAACCACATATTTCTTAAAGCAAACTGGGTTGCCAATGGGGTATTTTCCAACGTTTCAACTATATCATGAAATAAAAATACATAGAAAAACAAATTTTGGACCGTTATATTTCTTTTTCATTTCGATCTCATTAAAGTTCTAAAGGTGATTTAAATAATGTGATGTCTTTAAGCGAAAATTTCAAACCAGCATCAAAGGTTATTTTTTAGAATAGTTTAGTCTATTGGAGGGTAATATATGCAAATCAGCATAACTGCTTTCACGTTTTGGGCAATTTCTTCAGTGTTGCCAGAATCATCCATTAAAGTGAGAGACAAACAAGGCATCTGTTATAATAATATAATTACTTGCAAATTAAAAATAATTAGAAATTCCAGCTATTTATTATTATTTATAAATTAAAAAAGTTTTTTCGGCAAATATTTTGTCAGACCTGTAAAATAAGTTTTTAGTTATTAAAATTTTCACGTATGGTTTTAATTGGTATTTTAGGTGTTTAAAAAGTAATTATTGCAAATGAAACATTTCTCAATCTGGTAATGATGGATGTTTCCCATTTCCTTTATTCATCGAAGAGACCATAACAACCCCATCAGAGGATACGGAATTATTGGATTTATAATGTCCTACTTAAAATATTGATGCAGAAACAACTGCCACCTCATCAGTATGTCAACAGATATTAAGTGTTTTTCCTAGTTTTTCACAACTTAATGACGTCATATACATAAAGTAAAATTTCAAATTAAAATAAGAAATGCACATTTCCAATTTCTTTACAATTGAAGGAAACTATGCTATTCCTAATAGCATTTTTGTCCACTTCTAGGCGTCCACTATACTGTACCCAAATTGTATTAGTTAATTTTTTTCTAATATGAATGCATTTTGTGGACAAGGCGGATCATAAGCTGATCAACTTTTCAACAAATTTCCACATCTCTTACATCATCATCTCATTCTTATTACCCAGACCAAACTAGTAATATATCTGGTTATTTTATACTTCATAATAATTTCTAATTAATTTGAATATTCTATATTACCAATATTAAAATACATAATGTATTTGAAATAAAACACTTGAGTATATACCCTTTATTAAAAAATTATATGTATGAGAATATATGTTGTTACAGTTTATGATTCATATTTGCTTGAATTGTTTTGTACTGACATCTTGTTTTACAAGGAACGGAGTTGTAAATTTTCATAATTTGCTTGTGTGGAGTGATCAGAATCCTAAAGAAACATGACAATAATGACATTACCTGATAGCCACAGCAATCAACATCTTGTTTTCATCGCCTACTAATAAATTTTAAATCCGTGACACTGCTACGCAAACCGAAACGTACAGACCTGCAAATAATGCCATTTTTCTCAAGAATGGTAGGCAAGTTTCTCAAGAGACAATTTTTTTTTAAAATAAAACGATATTTTCAATGTTGCTGTCCGTTTTAAAAAAATACTTGCACTAAAAGTTTTGACCACTAAAAGGGAGAGGTAATTGGAGAAAACTATCACCCAGTATATCGATTTGACTAAAGCTTTAAGAAATAATACGCTATAATAGTCCAAATAAATATGCCAAATTTTAACGTGACCGGTAAAAGGGTTATGAAGTTATTCATTAAATTATTTTTATTTTTGACAACTTTGAAGGCCTGTAACTCAAAAACCAAAAAGTTTTTATTTAACTTTTTTTCGTAGATCGTATTTATTTATCATCGTGAATATGCAGTCAAACGTTATCGGTGAAATTTGCGGACATCCTGTATACGGTGTACGTACTGGTAGTACCGGTAGTACCAATAGATATATATACTACGATAGAATCATGATAAAATGTCTATTTCCATTATCGCTATTTATCGCAATAGCGGCTTTTTTTATGATAAATTGTTGGAATACTATTTTCGACTTTTTCGAATTCGTCGGAATACATAGATATATATACAGACACCGGAATTATTAGCTGTTATCGTTCGATAAAACGATAGTGGCTTTTTTATGAAAAAATTTTCCGTTAAGATTTTCGACTTCCTTTAGAATATGTCTAAATATATAAAGGCATCGCAGGTGGCGATAGATAAACGCCAGAAGAATTAGCCGTTATCGCTCGAAAGAACGATAGCGGCTTTTTTTATGAACAAATTCTCCGTTACGGTTTTCTATTGACAGTATCGACTTTCAAATTTTTCAATGAGTATAACGCAGGTGGCGTTTACGATGTTTTTTTTTAGAGAACATTACCTATAACTGTACCTCAGAGCTAAACTGTATTAAGTGCCAAAAATGAAATTTTACAGGAGATTTAAAGATTTAAATTTTGCTTATCATTCCTTAATTTCGAACTCTTACTTCTCCTTGATAAAAAAAATTAATATGATGTGAAGTTATACGTCTATTTTAATATTATTTATTGTAATTTAAAGAATAATTTTCTATTGATATTTTTTTTTTCGAAAATATGGAGAACACTATTTGGCACAAACATGATTTAGCGATTTTATATTATAATATTTACTAATTGTGGATAATACTGAGGATAATACTGATAAAAACTACCAATTTAATTTTTTTTATT